GATCCAGAAATTCCGATTGAAGTAACCTGAATTCTGTTTAAGTCAACCAAAAATCTTGTTAACTTAAACAGAATTCGGGTTAATTCAGTCGAAATTTCTGGATCGTTCATATTCGACTAGATATTTGGTTAATTCAACCAAACCTCTTTTTCCGTGTAAGGATACATTATTTTGCATCAATAACAAATTAACGTGTTTCTTAAGACAAATATACTCAAGAAATTTTTTCTATCCTAGCAACGAAACTACTTCTGCTCTGATAACGAATAATTTGTAAAACTAGTTAAATCAACTAAATTTTTTTGATGTCACTACGAATATGCAGTAGCAACAACGATTTTGCTAAAAGAGCAAAATTATTTTTCTCCGTGTGATAGTCTGTTTGGATAATTACGTAATATAATTCTACACACGTTTTAACAAAATATTTTGTATTCATGTTGAAATCTATCTGTGTAAAAAAAACTTTTATGTTAAATTCTTAATATATTCTCGTGTGTTAATTTAACATATTATATGTATATATTTGTGTTATATTGATTTTTCTGCGTTGAGAATTCATATTCACCATTTCTCATTATTAAAATAACGTGATTTATATGTAACATGTGTAATGATATATTTTTTAAAGTATACGAATAAGTTGTGCTATTTATATATTAACACATTTGCCTTGTGTTAAATTTTATACACTCAAAAATTTGAGTGTATAAATTGGAACATGTGAAATATATTAAATTTTGCAGTGCACGGAAAAAGATGTTTGTTTGAATGAACTAATTTCTATTGAAATACGAATGATTCAGAAATGTTAATTGACTACTACAAAATTCTATTTAGAAGAGTTAACCGAAAATCTTGATAATTTAAATTGAAATCTGATAACTTCGATCGGAATTTCTGAGTCGTTCATATTTCACCAGAAATTCGTGGATCCAGTCAAAGTTTTTTTCTACGTACACAATAGAGAAGATCAAAGTGGAACATGTAATGAACAATCTCGTTGAAAAGAGCAGAAGAAAGATAGATCCAAAAGAGAAGCAGTTGCTTTCTTACTTGCAGCAGCAAGAGGAAGATAACCCACTGATAGTACTTGTGCTGCTTGACCAACGGGTTGGGTGTGTGGCCGTGTGCTCCCTCACCCTTGCTGTTGGACACTCCGGGATACGGCACGGCCTGGCCGAGGCTCATGTTGAAGGCGTGCACCATGCTGTACGTGGTGTGAAGCCAGCAGAAGGTCTCCAGCACGACCTTGTCGACGGAGCCGGTGGTTTCGCAATGTATGGGCGAGCCGGAGATGCTCTTACAAGCGAGGGTGAGGCAGCCGGACAACAGCACCGCCACGGTGGCGCGATAGTGCAGCCGAAACATCATGGAGTCCTCGACGATCCGGTGCACCTTGAAGAGCGATCGAATCGAGCCGAACAGGTCAATCATCTTTAGCATCAGCGGCATGTTACATCACAAATCGGAGACTTCGCGCGACCAGAGGTCAGAGTTCTTTCGCTCTTTTATATTTCTTTCGCGACTGCCTGGCAATCGTGCCTCTCGTGACGTCTCCTTGTCCTCTCTGTTTCCGAAGAAGTTGAAAAAATTCGCGTAGATCTATCTTTATAGCACAGGAGGCCCTTAAAGACCTTGTATTAGTCTTCCTCATGCGACGATCGTGATAGCAAATTGTTTCTGGTGTTCCTTGATATCTCAAATATTTTTAGATTAAAAAATATATCAAGAAAATAATTCGATTTTTGACGATTGAAGAAACTCGCGTAGATCTGCTCTTGTAGAACAATGGACTTTTGGAAAACTTCTGTTAACCTTTTTTGCGCGTTGATTGTGATAGCAAATCACTTCTGGTGTCTCAAATATTTTTAGGTTGAGAAATATATTAAAAGAATAATTTGATTCTTGATAATTGAAAAAATTCACGTAGATTTGCTTTTATAGAGCAATAAACTCTTGGAGACGTTTTGTTAGTCTTCTTCGCGCGTCGATTGTGATAGCAAATCGCTTTTGGTGTTTCCTTGTGTCTCAAATATTTTTAGGTTGTGAAATATATCAAGATGATAAATTTCTCTCGATTGTTCATTACTTAAGAAATTTACGTATATTTTTACTGTAAATCCTTCAAGATCTGTTAACTTTTTTCGCGCGTCGACCGCGATATCCAATCACTTCTAGTGTTTTCTGGTGGCTCAAATATATTTAGGTTGAGAAATATATCAAGTGATAGTTCGATGATTCTTGATAATTTCGTCTTGATATGAAGTGGATTTTCAATTTTCAATTATTTTACCTTGATATCAAGTGAATAATTCGATTCCTTGATTTCTCAATTGCTTGGAATTAATTTCTGTTGAATTAATTCGTGCAGAAAGTGCACAGGATATTCTTCTCGCAAGTCCGTTTGTTGGATCCAAATTTTTATCTTGCCTTTAGAGAGTAACTAGGTCGAGATTGTCGTTTTAAAGTATCGGGGATAGGCGAGGAAAGAATCGCCGTGAGAGAGTGCAATCGTAAGGGTGGACAGTCCACGTGACTTCTCTCTCCGTGGAGTTTTGAGGTCGGCTCGCGGGAACAGCGTATACCGCGTGCATTTTGTGGGCGTTTAAACCGTCGTAAAAATCGCACGATACTTTGTTTGCTTTTCCGACGGAGAAAGTCCTCCTCACACCCTCTTCACCCGCTCACTTCTTTTCCTCGGTTTCTGCCGCGCTCCACGTACGATATAACGTTATATCTTGCCTCGAGTGTAACGCGCAGTAACGCCATTCCTCCGTGCACCTTGCGGAACACGTCGATTTAGCTTGTCCTTTGCGGTTTCATCGTGCGCCGCACACGCATTTTGCATCTTGATTAGTCGGTCACGGCGGGAAAAATCGCGGCTTAACTCGACGCAACTTGTCGCACGACCACACCTCGCTACATTCTTACGCCTTTCGTCCGTAAAGATGCTTTATGCGTGATAATTACAGAGTCCTGCTCCTCTTCACGGACACGCGTTATGCGTCAGAAAAATCGCAACGCAACATATCGTTTCGTCCAGCCATCTTTCGCGAGAGAGGGAAAACTATAATCTACATACTTCTCACGTATCCGCGCGACCATACGTAGTCTCTCGCTCCTCTCTTATTACCACCGGTCTTGATTAACACAGGCACCTCAATGGTGTGTCCCTTCCCGCATGTGAAATAAACATGAGAGAAATTCACGATAGAACCCGGCCGAAAAGGGCGATCGCGAATTGAAGACGATCGCACCGGAGTCGCGTAAGAAAGGCGGGCGCGTGAGGCTCGGATGCGGGCTGTCAGAAGACTGACCGGACTTGAGGGGCATCCCTTGACCTCGATGCTAAATACATAACTTATATTATCTTTAGGGGGGGCGTCTGCACTGCGTCGGGTCAGCGTGTTCGGCCGAGCGTCGATTGACAGCAAGTCAAAGTTTATCGTCCGCGCGACTCGATAGCGCGCGAAAATGTTTGCACCGGATCTCCCACGTGCGTGGCGATAAATAACACTCGACGGCGCGCCTCGTTCAGCCAGAAGCTCGGGGGATAGCTGCGGCTTAACGCCGCCGTAAAATCCCGTGCGTTTCAGCTCGTTGTGTAGCTGAATTATGCGAGGTTAATACAGTTAAGGGGATGCTGAAGCTGAAAACTTCACCGACAGAACACTGATATTTTTCTGCAAAGTTTACATCGTATTAGTATACAGAATTACAAATGCTTTTACGCAACGGAAATATGTGCAGAAATAAATAGGAACATTGCTCGATACGTGACGAAAACGAACAAAAAATTTTTAATGTAAAATCTCAAGCTGTCAGTTAGCGCAATATTTGCCTAATCCAAAAGTTCCGCAACTTGTATATACCGAAAGTGTGGATGCTCCAAACAGAAAAATTTTGAAGAACATTGCTCTACCTTCGCATCTGCATTTGGAAGCTTAAAAATATCGAAAAAGTTTGCAGAAAGATTTCTACACATATATGATTAGGTTTTCCGCTGAATATGATAAAACAAAGCAACACACATTTATATAAGTTCTGTATATACAAGAAATACGAAAAGAATAGCGTGATTATCGTTAGTGACGATCGTCTCTGTATTATCGACATTGTTCGAGTTCGTCATCGACTCCAGCATCTCCTTAACACCGGCGACAATGACGCGTATCGACGACGCGCCAAGGTATCAGAGTCAAGGAGGAACAAGCGAATTTTGATGAGCTGCATAGTTTAGTGTGATCGGGCGCGTTGGGGCGAACACTTACAGCATTATTAATTACAAATTATACGCGTGAGTGCGTCCCGAGCCGGAATTTTCGTCCTATTTTTGGTCTCAATATTCCATTTAACGACTACTTTGATGTCCCGAAGGTCTACGAAGGTTAACCTCTACTGACTCTACTTAACCTACTAACCTGCTAACTTTGCCGAGAAGTGCTTTTTAAAAGTTACAAGTGGTATTTTCTGCTATTTGGTTTTCTGTTATTTGGAGGCGTTAAGAGGATGCTGGAATCGAGATCTTCAACGACTTATGCTGACTTTTTCCTGCAAAGTTTATGTTTTATTGGCTGCACGTTATTACAAATGTTCTTATACAATAAAAATACCTGCGAGAATGGATCAAAGCATTGCTCAATATATGATAAAAACAATAAAAATGTTTATACAGTTGACATTTCGAGCGTAAATTAGCCTGCCAGACGCTGTTAGTTAAAGTAATTATTCGCCTGATACAAAAGATCTGTAGCTTGTATATATTAAACGCAAAGTTTGCTTCGCCCATAAAAAATTTCAGAGAGCATTACTGCACATTTATATCTGAACTTAGAAGCTTAAGTCTCGAAAAAATCTGCAGGAAGATTTCGATATATGTGTATGTGCGTGATTAGGTTTTCCTAAATATGATAAATCAAAGCAGCATATATTTTAAGATCTATTCTACTAGAAATACGAATAGGATAATGTGATTGTGTTAGCGACAATCTCTATAATATCGACATTTTTAAATTTATCATCGACTTCAACATCTTCTTAAGTAAGATTTTAATTTCTACGTGTGTTAAATATACATTGATCCTTCAGAATATACAAATATTACAAAGTTCAGAGGTATATAGTTTTAATATTTTGAGTCGGGATAATTAACGGCTCAAATTTAATAGTAAATAAAATAGTCTTAAAAGATGCACCTGATGAAGAGTTTTGTGGCCCGAATAAAATTGACCGTCGGGAAGTACGATGATATAATTATGTGCATTCTTATTCGCACATGTGCCTCACATCGAAAAAAATTTTAACATGACATGTCTCAATTTATCTACACTAATCTAAACTAATCTTTGTGTTAATTTAATAGAAAGCAAATGTGTTAACAAGTGGCACAACTTATCTATGTAAGAATTACTTTAACCCTTTCGCTACGGGACATGAATTGAATAAACAGCTCTTTTGGCATTCAGAACACGTTAGCTATCGCTCTACTTATTACCGTTGGGACAAATATGTCCTCCTAAAAACTCTGACGAAACATCAGTGCTCCGGCTGTATCCATTTGGCGCCAAACTTTAAATATAAATTTAACAAAAGCCCTTAATTTTTTTGCTGAAACTACATTATATTAATTCAACGAAGTGAAGGTAAAAAAATCGTACCTTTAAAAAATGAAATTAGTAGCGAAAGGGTTGAGCCAAACATTTATTCTTGCAATTCTGAAGGACAATATTCCTTTCTTCGAGTAAATTTTTACTCGTCTCCAGTAAGTTTTCACTTGAAGAAATCTCGAAAATAAGACGCGACTCGCTGCTCTGGCACTATTTTCTTTTCTCTTCAACCCTTCCTCGTTACGTTACATGACGCGACGATTGCATTATCGTGAGTAAGAGGCCACGGATCTCCGTAAGCTCATTGGCCTAATTGCGCTCGCCAAGTATGGGCTGTACAGGGCGGTTTGGCGATCACCGTCGTCGAAAATATACTTAATCGACCGTGTTACGAGCGCACGTATTCCAGGCAACGAAATTAAGTGCGCCATTATCACGTGTAAAAGCACACCGCGGCGCACCAGAATGGACACTCACGAGGCTGTACTTGTCGTCGCCTCCCATTCCCCAGCTCTTCCCGGGCGATGAGAAAATAGAAGGCGATAAAAAGACGGGCCGGAATGAGATATTCGCGCTCTAATTAGGATCCGAGATTGATCCGCCGATGGAATACTCATTAAGTCATCCTCCCCATCGGCTTCTTTGACTCAGGCTCACTTGAAAATAATCTCGCGGTTCTTGTGTCGTTCGCAAGGTCGTCCGAGAAAAATGGAAAACTCGTTCCGCGTTAAAATTATTCGTCGCTTCTGCAGTTGCGTGACATTTCAGGAAAAATCACGTTTATTCCCT